GGGGCTCCGGCCTCCTTGGAAATCCTCTTTGCCAAGTCTTGCCTCCCTTCCCCGGGGCCGGGGCCGTGCTGCGGGTCCCCAGCACCGCAGCTGGCTTCTCCCACCCGGCGTCTGCCGCCGCGTCCCCGCGGGAGCGTTTGGCCCTGTGCCGGGGGGCCCCTTGTGACCCCCCACCCTCTCTGGGCTCTCCAGATGCCAACACCCCTCGGATGGAGCCGCCGGACTCCCACGCGGATCTCCGGGTGCGTTGGGGCTGCGGCTGCGGGCGAGTCCCCCAGGCTGCGCCACAGCCGGGCCCTGAACCCCTCCAACCGCCCCCCCAGCGCCAGACCTGGGTCTTCAGGTCCAAGGAGCTGATGCTGAAGTCGGGCAGCGCCGTGCCCGAGGGGAGCCTGGTCTACGTGCGGGAAGGGAGCAGCGCCTTCCTCCGCACCCCCACCGGCTGGAGCCGCCTCCTGGTACCGTGCACCGCGGACACCCCTCGGGGTCCCTCACAGGGTGGGGGGGTCCAGGCTCCAGCCCTGGCAGCCAGCACCAGGGGAAGGAGCTGGTTCCCCCCTCACCTCTCCCTCTGCTCGTTGCTTTGAGCAGCTGGAGGATTCGGAGTCGCTCTTCGCTGGGGACGACCCCTCCACCTCCACCCCACGGTACCAGGTGAGGGGTGCGGGCAGCCACCGGGTCCGCTCCTGTCCCAGCAAGGGGACAGAGCCCTCCTCTGCAGGGGGACAAGCCCCTGCAGGACTGTCCTTTCCTTTCTATCCAGGAGGCGAAGCGGGTGAAGACAAGAGGTCCTGTCACAGGGCCACCCACGCTGGCCCCGACGGACTCGCTGGTGAGTCCCACCACAGGTCCGGCCACGCCGGGGGGACGTGCCGTGGGGACAGGCCAGCACCAGCCCAGCACACGCAGAGCTGGGGGTCGCGTTGGAACGGGGAGGGTGCTGCACCCGTGGCACCCATGGCACAGGGATGGGTGTCCCCGGGCTGACCTGAGCTGTGATTCCAGGTCCAGAAGGAGGAAGGACAAGGGCTGCCCCAGATCCTGCCAACCACCATCGCCCCACGGATCCCATCAGTGAGCAGCACCCGGCCCCGGGGGTGGGAGTCGAGTGGCCCAACTGTGGGAGAGGGGGGAGAGGTGCCTGGGGGACCCCTCTGTGCCTGGCCAGCAGCCTCCTGGGCAGGGGGGAGCAGGGCCCTCGAGACCTGGCCGTGCCCAAGCCCCCCCGTTGCCCTGCCTCCCCCCAGCTCCGCCTGGCCGCCCTGAACGTGCCCCTCGCCGGTGACATGAGCGGGATCCGGGGCGCTGACCTGCAGTGCTACCGGCAGTCCCAGGAGGCTCAGCTCTACGGCACTTTCCGGGCGTTCCTGTCGGCCCCCACCCAGGACCTGGTCTCCATCGTCAAGAGGACGGACAGGACCCTCCCTGTTGTCAACCTGAAGGCAGGTACCCCCGTCCCCCATGGGGGCTGCTGGCAGCAAAGCCCCGCAGCCCCCGGTGAGCCTCCGGCCGTGCTCAGCACTTGTGCTCTGGGGAGCCGAGGGGAACCCAGAGCAAGTTACTGCCCACACATGGTCAGGACAAGGGCATCGCCCTGGCCCCCAGCTCAGCACCGCTGCTTGTGCCCGCAGGGCCAGCTGCTGGCCAAATCCTGGAGCTCCCTCTTCGAGGGCCAGGCCGGTGCCGCCCCGCGGGGCCCCATCTACTCCTTCAATGGGCGCAACGTCCTGACGGATCCCCTCTGGTGAGTGCAGCTGCGGGCGGGCACCGGCAGAGCATCCCTGAACAAACGCACCCGCACCGGGAACCAGGCTGGGGGGTCTGCAGTGGGTTCCCCCCCCCCTACCCCTGCAGAAGCTGGTGTAAAGAGCCAGAAGGGCCCT